AAAAAAAATAAAAATAAAATAAAAAAATATTCCGACGAATTGAAAACCTCCGCCTTTTATATTCTGTGTACATGTTTCTATGCTGCCGTGTTTGTACGAAAAATTATCTCTTATTAAATTAATACGAAAATTAAGAACGAAAAATTACACTGAAGATGGCACAACGCCGAAACCGGTTTGTCCTCAAACCAAATTTGACAAGGGATGACGGAAAATCGGTCCAGCGGGATTTAATCGGTACAAATATGAAAAATTTAGACACTTACACGTCCCGACTTCTGAAAAATATTCAGCGGGAGAATTTTCTCAAAATCGGTACGAATGGTCACCGTAGGCAAGAGGATTTTTGAATTTTTTTTTTTGGCGTTTGATGATCGAATTTAGGAATGGCTGTAAACAGTATCTAGAAAATTCTACATTTCTACTCTATATTCTATATTTCTACACTAAGCCGTATTTGTATAGTTATAAAGATTGACTAAATACGTATATAGTGGTTATAGTTATTTACTTTAAGCACACTCCAAAAAAAACTTTAAATTTATGTAATTAAATATTTCTCTACAGCTTGTTAGAATATGAGCTTCTTTGATTACAATTATATAATCTGTAGTAATAGTAACTTTGACATTATGCATAGCTTACAATCTATTTAAAACCAAAATATCAGCCTAACTCGTAGGTACAATTATAAAAGAAATCTAAATGCAAATTTCTAGGCAGTTCAAAGTAACTAGCTGGCAAGATGTAAAATGGTTTAATTTTGCTTAGGAAACTATTGTATGTACATATATCGACAGCCAAATGTGAAGAACGACTTACATGATTTTTGTACATATACTTGCATACCAGACCGTACCACCGTTCGAGGAGGAAATAAAAAAAGTTCGCTGTACATCGCTAAGTCTTAAGTATTTTTGCAAGGCAATTACGAAAAAATTGTTTTTTTTTTTTTTGTTTGTTTGCCGAACTTGCCTTTTTACATTTTTCCGTGACACCTTCGTACATTCGGCAAGAAGTTTTTTTTTTTTAATTATTGCCCTGGAATAATCAAAATATTCCTTTATATAGCTTTAATTTATAATCATTAAGGTGGTAGGACCTAAGATTTGGTAGGTGGATTATCGAATGGGGTACTTGAAGTCAATTAATTTTAGAGCAAAAAACTTTTCTTCTCTGTTCGCAAAAAAAAAACCTTTCGAAATTACATACTTTGCAAACATACTGTACGCTGAGTGTACGCTTTGGGTACAGCCTGTTGCATATATGTATATGTATCATTACAATGGATTTGTTAGGATGATATGAGTATTCTTAATGACTCTTATAATTCGGTTTAATTTACGTAGGTTTGAATGTAGGTATGTATATATGAAATATCATAATTTCAGGTCCATCCCGATATAATATTTTATATTTGGATTACAAACTAGACATTTACGTATTTGTAATATTTTTAATGCTCTCAAAAGTGTTTAGAATAGATATGTATGTACATATGCATATATAATTACAAACATAAATACATACATATTTATGTATGTATATCTGTGGAGCAGTCCGTAGCATTACATATAAATACTTCTAATAACCTTAAGTATTTCATAGTCACTAAGAACTTTATATTCATTTGACAGAGTTTGTTAAACAATTAAATATATAAAAAAAAATGTACATATATACATCATTTACATACAGTCCATATATGCGTATTTATGTATATCCATGAATGCACTAGATTTTATTTCTACTCGAAAATTTTCTTAACTGCCGGCACACAAAAAAAAAGTGGTGTGTGCTTTATATTTATTATGCAAATACATATAAATGTATATATAACACATACGTAAATAAGGAAGCGTTTAGATGGTTAACTTGCTTATTTTTTAAATTGCTAGAAGTTTTTCAACAAGCTCTTTAGCTTTTAATTATACTGATCTTAAGCAAGGGAAAACTCGTTCGCACAGCTTACCTAACGTTTAATTGGCATTTTTCTTACAGCTCTCTTATTATTGCGTAGTAAACTATTAAGTTTTTTTTTTTTGAATTATTTAAGTGAGTATTTGAATGGAATAAATTTGCATAGTTTTTAATATATGATTGTTTGCTTAATTTAAAAAAGTTATTTACTGCGTTTAAATATATTTCTAATAATCATAGCAATAATTGGTGCTTTAAACAAATCTTTATTTCCTTCAACATATGCCGACATTTATTATTTCGTATTTAAATTCAGAAGCTAATCATATAAATATGTGGACATGCGTATATTGGCCCGTGGGTCAAAATAAAGCCGACTCTAAAGCCAACTCCCGCCTTTTTAAACAATTTTCAATATGATGTCTGTCCAAAAAGCATTAAATGACTTGAGGGTCGACTTTATTTGGCTATAACTACGGTCATTAAGTTGTAAATGAATTAGAATTTTTTTCGGTAACTTTAGATAAAAAAAAAAAATATTTCTAATGGAAGCCAAAAAGAAAATTTCTGCCGACATTAAGCAGCGGATGTCGCATAAAATTTCTATTTTTGTTATTTTTAAATATTATTTACGAATGTTATAATATCTCAGCAATCCAGGGCGCTCATCTTTTCGCTAAGATAAGTTAAAGGCAATGGGGAATATTCATAATCAAAATAAAGTCGTCTCTAAAGTAAAAAGCTACAACTAAGGCTAAAAACATAGTGAAGCGGCGAGCAAAGAGCGTCGATCTCAAACGCATATGTCACAATGGGAGAGCGCATAGTGAAAAGAGCAACGCGTATTTACACGTTTGTAATTGAAGCTTTGCTCGATGCTAGCTCTTCGCTTTGTTTTGACCCTTACCTGCGAGTAGACAATGAATATGCCCTAATTACTTTATTTTTCGAGGCAAGTGTTTGAAACGAAGGAAAACAAAGAGCCTTAAAATACTTAACTCAACTTAGGTTGCTTTTGACAGTTTTCATTGCCTGTGACGCAGCTGTTTAGATGAAGAGAAAATCGGAAGTATATGATCACTTTCTCTGCTACTGCACCGGAATTGGTGAAACACAGGCTGTGTGTGTGTTATTTTACCAACTCATTTATTTTATTTAATACAATATATCTATAATTTCGCAAAAATTTCTTTCTGACGACTTAACTGTCATCACTGATGTAAATTTTAACATTTTGTAATTCATTAACAAATCTTTTGACAAGCGATATACAAGGTCAGCATTAAAATCATCGATGACATTTAAGTCTTATGTGGATTTTTTTATCAGAATTTCAGAATACTTATATATGCAAATCACAACAACCTCAGCCGAAATAGATTTTAACCTGGTTAAGCAGGAATGGCCACAACAAGCCACCTTTTCGAATTATAAGTACTAGTATCATCATTTTTCTGAAGAGTTCAAGAAAACGATAGCGCTGCTGGAGTAAAATATTGTACATTAGACTGCAACACTCCCCATACAAAAAAAAAACGGTACTGTTTTTCCACTGGAATTATAAAATCCATTGTATTTTAAGACTTTCGCCTAAATATATCGCAAAAATATTAAGATTTACGTAAGCTGGACCGATTTGAAAATACCTCCGAAAATTGAGTTTTTTATTAATAAAAAGGTTTTTTTTTTACTATTTAAAAAACTTACCTCAGATGCCTAAACATTTTAAGCTCAAAAAATTTGCATAAAAATATTTTAAACAATTTTTCTACGGAATCATAATAACGAGATTTTTGATGATTTTTTTTTTGAACTTTTTTCATTATTATGATTCCGTTGTTAAAATTTTAAAATATTTTTTATGTAGATTTTTGAAGCTTAAACTGTTTTGTCATCTGAGGGGATTTTTTCCAAAAAATCCTTTAAGAAACTATTTTTATTCATAAAAAACTCAATTTTTAAAGGTATTTTCAAACCGGTCTAGCTCACATAAATCTTAATATTTTTTCGAAATATTTTGGTGAAAGTCTTAAAATATAATGGATTTTATAATTCCAGTGGAAAAACAGTACCGAGTTTTTTTTTTGTATTTTTCCGAAATATTTTTGTAAAAGTCTTAGGGTATACCAGATTTTGTAATACCGCCGGAAAACCGCATTTTTTTGGTGATGCAGTATAATGTACACACATTATTTGAAATATTTAGATTTTATACATTTAAAATTTAGGCCAATTCATAAATACATTCCAAAGCATGACTGCGTTTAGTAGGACAACCCTAAGTTAAGTGTTTGCAAGATAGTAGTTTTCGAAGTATGCATATTCCTTTATATTTTGTAACGTTTTTACGTAAAAATATTTTTGTTTCTTATTTTAAGTTTTAGTAATCGAAAGTTATATTATGATAAGCTACTTGAAGCTTGTGTATAAATTTAATCATTTTTAAAGCAGAAAATACCAGTACACATTTTTTTCTACAGTCCATATTGTTTTAAATTTAGTATATATTATTTTATTTTACAGGTGTCGCACATAAAACTGAACACCGGTAGAAGTCCAATACCTAGAATAACTATATACAAGTACTCTATATACTCTAATGTATTACGCTATTTGTAAAATTGTGCGCCTACATAGATGCATGCAATTATTTACTTTAAATATTTAGTTTTAATATATACCTTAGCTTTAAGCTGGATAGTTAATATTTTTTTGTTTACTAGTTTTGAAGTATATATTGTAGTTCCATGCATATGTATGTATATAGCTTATGTAATAAATTTACAAGTGTGTATCTAGATATTGTTAATTTTTGAAGTTTCGATGAATACGAAACTATTTTAATCGCTTTTGTATGTATTTATTATTATTACATTTCTAGCATTTCTTTAATAATATTGAGTTAATATATGTATATGTATTTGTGTTTGTTTTACCAACCAAAATTTATGCTTGATTTTTTTCAATAACATGTATTTATGTAAATTTAAGTACGAGTATGTACATAAATACTAGGTATGCATTATTGTAAAATTTATAAAATTTTTATTAGAATTTACGTATACACAAGTTGCCTTCAGGTTACCAACCAAAGCAGTTTAAATTGCTTACTTTAAGAAGATGTCTCCTTTCAAAAATTTCCATTACCAAAAAATGCGGGACTAATTGGAAATCATTTACTAAACAATTAATTAATTTTTAAATTCGTCCAAAGAGGTTTTCGAGTAAAGGTTGATTGTGGTGCTCTCCATTCGATTTTGATTATCCAAATTTCACACTACATTTGGTATGTTGATTGAAGATATGCATTGGAGAATGTTGATGGTCACAAATATGTATGCATGGAAATTTGTGATCTTAGCAAGTCACCCAGATTTTCGGCTTATTTTTTATACATTTTTTTAAAATAATTTTTCCTGCTTTTGATTTTTTGCGCCGCTTGGCGAAACCTTACCTCGGCGGCGGCGGTGGTGGTGGTGGCACTTGCGATCGGCTCGATGTTTGCAAATCGAGCGCCGATGCATTGTTGATGGGACTGTTGACGCGTGGCGGAAGCAGCGATGTTGGTGGCGCACGCATTTGAGTGTAGGGGTTGTCGTAGAAACCTTGTGACATGGCTAACATTTTGAGCAACTAGTTTTTCTTTCGCAACAGCTGTTTGGTTGTAAGTTGATGGTCGTCTGCTGAAAAGAAAAAAGATTACTTTGTTTAAGTAAGAATTTTTCGCAGGGAAATATAAGGCATATGGTTGATATCCAGTTGTAATTACTAAATTATAAGTGCGTATAAATACTTATAGTTATTTCAAAGTGAGATGGTATAATTAGCTTAGTGCTTAATTCATTTATTAATTACTGCATACACTTATACAATAATAGCCACGAAAACAATTTCAGTTAAAAGTTTTTATTTTTATTTTTATTGAAGTGAAACTTCTTTAGCGGCGGTTGGTTGGTTAGAAGTAAATTGGCAAATTCAACGGAAATTTCACACGAAAATTGTGCAACGGAAATGGTTGGGGCTGAAACAAGTGCTTCTTGAGTGTATGCATATGGTATTAATTTAACAAAAATTCACTAATAAAAGGTTAGTGAATAATAGTTAGAAAAATAAGAATACAAGAATGAAAGTAAAGGGGAGTACATAGATAGATAAAGGAAAGGATAAAGGCAAAGGTAAAAATGAAAACAAAAACAAAAATGCGTAAATATAGAAGCAGAAATGAAGACCAAGGTAAATTTAAACACTTTGCTTATACATACATATATAAGGGCAAAGATGAAGAAAATGATAAACATAAAAGTAAAGACAAACAGGAGGATGAGGATACCGATAAAATTAAAGATGAAGATAGGGGAAGAAAGATTAAAATCAAGGTAATTAAAGAGGAAAGGATATAGCGATTGGTATTTTAGAGATTTTCGGGATTCTCGGGACTTATCGATAAAATAATCGATATTTTTATCGGTTTTGTTATCGATATTTTTATTCGTTTTTTATCGAAATTTTTATGGATATTGTTGTAGTTTTTCCTATTGATATTTTCGGAAATTATCGATATAATAATTGATTTTGTAATCGATATTTTTAACTATTTCGTTAGTGATATTTTTCATCAATTTTGTTACCGATATTTTTATCGATTTTGTTATCGATATTTATCGATTATTATCTATTTTGTTATCGATGTTTTTATCGATTCTGTTATCGATGTTTATCGATTTTCTTATTGATATTTGCCGATTTTGTTATCGGTATATATCGATTTTGTTATGGATATTTTAATCGATTTGGTTATCGATATTTTTTTATCGATTTTTTTATGAAAATTTGTATCGATTTGGTTATAGATATTTGTATCGATATTGTTATCGATATTTATGGATTTTTTTTATGGATATTTATCGATTCTGTTATCGATATACAATCGATTTTGTTGTGGATATTTTTATAGATATTTTTAAGGTATATTTTTATCAATTTTGTTGTGCACATTTTATCGAGTTTCTAATAGATTTTCCTACCAATATTATTATGGATTTTGCTATTGAAATTTTTATCGAATTTTTCATCGATTTTTTTATCAATATTTTTATCGGTTTTGTTATCGATATTTTATTGGATGTTACTATCGATTTTGTTATCGATAGAGCATAAAGATGAAATGAAGATAGACGAAAACAGGTAGGGATCTAGATAGAAAAAAGACAAAAAATATAACCTTAAGCAAAAGCAGATGAATGTATGTATGTACATATGTATGTATGTATATTGGTTATGAGACAAAATAAATATGTATGTAACGTAAGTTTCACTTCTCCAGTGTGGCCCAGGCGCACTTACTTTTTTTTTTTGTGTAGATAGGCTCCTTTGGGCCTAATGGCCTCATTTGTAAAATGAATTTGTTTAGTTTTCTTTTAATAAAACCATTTATTGTACCCATGTTTTATTTATGGCAAATAAACGAGGTTTGTTTTACAGTTTATTGTTTAATAAATCGTTATTTTTTACTTAGTAACTTTTAGGTACTTTTTTTTGCAAATTTTGGTCAGATTATTTTTTGTCGTGTGCCAACCGTGGTATCTACTTCTATCAACATTTAGTCCAGCCGAAAAAGGCGTTTCAAGTCGCTGAAACTTTTATGTTTATCAATTTATTGCTAAGCACGAACATTTTTATGACGCCAAACTCCGCTCAATGTAAATGTACACATACATATGTATGGGTGCGTTCAGAATTGCATGAAACCAAAGCATTAGCCTCTTTTGTTTCTAAACTATAATTGATGGAAATGTTAAAGATGCGCAACATTGGTTAAAAGCCGAATTGGAACTTAACTGCGTAAATAAGACAAATCCATCAATTATAGTTTAAAAATAAAAGAGACTGATGCTTTGACTTGATGCATTTCTGAACGCAACCTATGTACATATCTTTATTTTGCATCAGTAGTGAATTAAGCACACTAACTATTCATCACTATCTTGACGATGGATTACTTACTTAATCGCTATTTATTGCCAAATGCCCTCAATCCCTAATTCTGCGTCGAAAGGCAAATGCCATATCTAGCAAAAAAATTTGTAAGCTAGTAATTTACACAACGTAAATTTGAATCATATATACAAACATATAATACCTACATAGAATATGTGCATATTAATCGTAACTCTTGGATGCAATATTTATTGGTTACATATTTCACAACATTTTATCATTGTAAATTTATTATTGGCAAATTTCCACACTCTACCGCAGCATTACTTCCTTATCTTATCAGTCATAAATCAGTTATACTTATTTGCCGAATGTGGTCGCGCAGTGGCCAGTAGCCAGCGGCAGGTGCAATTCATGCGCCTATATCCATGTGTACGTACACATGTGTCCCCGCAAAGGACCATGCAGTAGCGAAACAATCGGCAATCATTGCACAACACTTTGCATATTTTATGGTCGAACAAAAAAACAAAAAAAAAACATTGCTGCTGCTCTTGTTATTTGTTAGAATAAATATGTAAAAGAGTGGGAAGCGAAAAGAACCATCGGCATATATAAATGTTTATATCAAATAATGGGTTATTTTTGTATATATGTATATCTATTTATGTATGTACGTATGCGTGTATGGTTTAGTGAATGTCTCATTTCATATTTGTAAATCACATTTCTAATACATGTAAATGTATGCATATTACATGTATAATTACTAGCAGTGAATTAAGCTTGTGTGCGTAACCCACCAACAAATTCCCCCAAGTGCAGATTTAAATAGAATCAGAGCTCGAAGATAACTGTGACAAACGAGAAATACAGCAGCGATCGGAGATTAACCGTAACATTTTCCACGTTGCTTTTATGGTTGCTCTCAGTGAGAAAAGTTAAACGCCACAGTATAAAAATTCTGCTCAGTCAGTGAGGAATATACATAAACGATACAAAAAAACTCCTACGCGTATATGCGGGGTAGTTCACTGACAAGTACACTTAAATACTTTAAAAGTTAAAGTACCTTTGGTTTTTAAATACCCACATATGTACTTAATATTTAGAAATACTTTAACACTAAATAAAAACCAGCTTTCTTAGATATTTATAAGTTGCTAAATATTTACTCAAGTAAAACAAAAAACTTGGCTATTTAGAAGTTGCTTAATACTAAATTAAATCATTTGTTAGTATTTAGGAGATGGTAAGTGCTTAAGTATTCAAGCGGGTTCAAAAATACTAAGGTATCTAGAATAATTCTCAAGACTAAAAGGCCTAGGAAAAGTAAAAGTAATCGTATAATTGTTGCTTTCAAATTTTACAAATTGACAATATATGTTAATTAGACTAAAGAAAAATCGGTACTATTTTTTATTGTAATTATAAAACCTTGTTTATCTTTGAAGAATTGCACCAAAATAATTCTGACAAATATTGGGATTTACCAGAGCTGGACCTATTTGAAAATACCTTCAAAAATTTAGTTCTTTTATGAATAATTCATAGTTTTGGCCCAGTTAAAAACCAGCATCAAAAATGGC